GTGCGCAGGGCGAGCGCTCTCAGCACATGTTTTTCTTAATTGGACGCAAATGTGCGGCCGCTCGGCGTCAAGGACCAGACACCGGGAAGCCGCACGCCAAAAGGTTAACATAGTTGTTGTCTTCCTTTGTAATGAAAGATAAAAAAAATAATAATTAGGATTCGGCTTGGTTCACACCTATGCTTTTTGCTTCTGATCGTTTTTTTTAGTGCTTTTTCTTTTGTATTTTACCGCATTTAGTGCTTTTTTTCAGCTTTTTTTTTTTTATTATAAAGTGGAACATTTTTTGTTGCTAGGCAGAAAAAAACACGGTAAAAACGAACTACGTGCATTTCAGCAGCTTCTCCATTGAACTCTATTGTAGCAAAAAATCGCTGCTTTTTGCATTTAAAAAAAGTCCCTGACCCTGTCCAAAAACGCAGCCGCTCCAAAAAAAAGCGCAGATGTGAATATGTTCCATAAGAAACCATATTAAATGGACTGTAGTGCGTTTCTGTAAAAAGCACTACAAAAACGCATTGGTGTGAACCAGAGGTTAGTGACAGTGACCGTGGCAGATGCTTCCAAGACAAGGGCCATGACTGGGAGGCAAAAGAGGCGACTGCCTTGGGCACTTCCGCAGGAGGGGGCACAAAACCTGCAACCTATGCTGCTCTAGTAGTTCACAGCTCACGGTGGGGCGGTTTACTTTTGCCCTTTCACCTTCGGTACTAAAGGAACTTGTCCCAAAACTGTCAAAAAAAAAGATGGCTCCTGACCCATACATTCCTCCCGTATTCTGTGTAGGTGTGTATTCTGGACTCAGATAAATGGTTTCGTGATTCATCATCAACCTCTTGTGAGATTTCAGACACACGGAGACCAATACAGCCAGGACCATGGAGGAAAGAGATGGCTGCCATCACATGTGTAGCAGACCGGGGGAGATATTTGCAGCGTTGCAATAAGCAGCACGCAATGGGTGGAGCCAGCTTTTGCACTCCGGAGACATAAGACAGGTAATATTTTTATTTACGGAACGGAGCGCAATGTAGATCATTCACAGAACGGAATCATTGCAAACGTGAAAAAAGTGCACCAAAATGAAGTGGCTGTAAACAGGAGTGTTTAGTGTATCGGCAATCAGGAGCTCCGGAAATGTGGTTGTTGAGTTCAAAAATTGTGCAATTTGCTCAAATAATATGTTCATATCTGATATTAGCCAATGAGGTGTGTCATTTAAACAGCAAATATTCTTCATCAATCCATAGCTAACCCGGCACAGCACTCCACTACCGCTGTCCTGAAGTTCAGCACCCTGGATAGTTCGCCCTTCAGTCAGCCTTCGCCTAAAGTCTATTTCCACATTTGCAGTCAGGTTTAGGAAACCTCCTCTGTATATTTGTTGTGTTCCCGTTCACACAGCATACCTAATATATATATATATATTTATTTTTGGTTTTTTAAGGTATGCTCTTTCTTTTTTTTAGTATTTCAATGGTTTTTATTATATTTTAAACAGTATAAAACAGAGGCAACAAAACACGCCCACGCAGGGGCTATCAATTGCACAGATAAAAAGTTCTTTCTTTTTTTTTTTAAACATATCTTTCCACCTATTTCTTCGGAGTATTCACACAGCATACCTAAAATAAATATATATATATATATACACACACATTTATTTTTGTAAATATACTTTTCTTTTTCCACCTAGTTATTTGGATCATTCACACAGCGTACCTAAAAGAAAATTATTATATATATATATATATTTATATATATATATATATATGCTGGTAATATTTTTTTTTTTAAAAACAAATGTATCTTTCCACTTATTTCTTTGGAGCATTCACACAGCATACCAATTATATATAGATATTATATTCATATATATAATAGATATATATAGATAGATAGATAGATAGATATAGATATATAGCTAGATTTTTTTATTTTTATTTTTTTTTAGGTATGCTTTCTTTTTTTTTTTTAAACGTATCTTTCCACCTATTTCTTTGGAGCATTCACTCAGCATACCTAAAAAAAAAATATAGATAGCTCTCTCTCTCTCTCTCTATAGATATATATATAGATATATTGCAACATAAAGTCATGGCCGAAATTGTTGGCACCCTTGATATTTTTCCTGAAAATCAAGTATTTCACACACAAAAAAGGTATTGCATTAACACATGTTTTGCTATACACATGTTTATTCCCCTTTGTATGTATTGGAACAAATATAAAACAGAGGCAGAAAAGCACATATGACATAATGTCACACAAAACCCCAAAAATGGGCTGGACAAAAGTATTGGCAACCCTTGGACTTAATATTTGGTTGCACCCCCTTTGGAAAACATAACTGAAATCAGTCGCTTCCTATAACCATCATCAGACCTGCACACCTCTCACCCGGAATTTTGGACCACTCTTCCTTTGCAAAAACTGCTCCAGTGTCTCTCTATTCTTGGGGGACACCTTTTCCCAATCAGCAATTTTAAGATCTCTCCACAGCATGTTCAATGGGATTGAGATCTGGGCTCATGACTGGCCACTCCAGAACTCTCCAGCGCTTGCTGTTGCATCCATTGTCTGAGTTGAAATTACTTTTTGACTATGTTTGGGGTCATTGTCCTGTTGCAAGACCCAGGATCTTGGACGCAAACCCAGCTTTCTGGCACTGGGTCCTACAGTGCGACCAAAATCCTTTGGTAAACTCTCAGAATTCATGATGCCATCAATGCACACAGTCAAGTCACCCAGGCCAGAGGCAGCAAAACAACCCCAAACATCATGATGCTCCTCCACCATATTTTACCGTAGGGACTGTGTTTTGTTCTTTGTAGTGCCTCATTCCGTTTTCGGTAAACAGTAGAATGATGTGCTTTACCCCAAAAGCTCTATCTTGGTTTCATCTGTCCACAGTATATTTTGCCAGTAGCTGTGCTCCAGGTGCTCTCTTTTCTTTGCTCAAGTAATATTTTTTTGGCAAACTGTAGTCTTGCTTTTTTGGTTCTGTGTCAGCATGGGGTACTCCATTCTTGTTTCCTGCCATAGCGTTTCCTTATTTAATGTGTCAACAAAAATCGTTGACACTGATGCCCTGAGAGATTTCTTGAATGTCTTTGGAGCTGACACTGTTTGGGGCTTCTTTACCACCATCCGCAGCATTCTGCGCTGTGCTCTTGCATCATTTTCCTCATCCGTCCACGACCACCAGGGAGATTAGCAACAGTGCCATGGGTTGCAAACTTTTGATTTGTAGACGCAGTCTGTCTTACCAAAGGGACACATGAACATCTAGGCTTTTGGAGATGGACTTTTGTAACCCTTTCCAGCTTCATGCAAGTCAACAATTCTTGATCTCAGGTCCTGACAGCTCTCGTTCCTCTTTCTGTTGTCCATCAGACAGTAGTTCTTGCAACCAGTACAGACACCCAAAACAGGTGCAAAAAAGGTGTAAGTGTCCTTTTTTAAGGGCAAGACAGCTTCAGGTGTGATTTCCAATATTCACACACCTTTACTTGCCACCCTCGCTCCAATTTACAGGAGAAGTCATTAGGCTAGCTTGTAACATACTTTTTATCCGCAGTTGTGAAAGGGTGCCATACTTTGCAATTAAAACTCCAGCCCATCTAAGGTTTGTGTGACATTATGTCGAATTTGCTTTCAGCAGACTCCTCCCTTTTTTCTATTTGTTGTGACATAAGGGAATAAACATTTCAGAGCAAAACATTTTATGCAATTTTCGTGCAAAAATCCACGATTTCCTGGAGAATTATCAAGGGTTGCAACTGTAATTTCGGCCATGATGTATCTTTTTCCACCTAGTTTTTTTGGATCATTCTTACAACATACCTAAAAAAAAATATATATATATATTTAGGTATGCTTTTTTTTTTTTTTTTTTTAAACACATCTTTCCACCTATTTCTTTGGAGCATTCACACAGCATACCTTTTATATATATATATATATATATATATATATATATATATATTTTTTTTTTTTTTTTTTTTTTTTTTTTTTATTTTTTTTTTTTTAGGTTTGCTTTCTTTTTTTTATTTTTTTTTTTTTTTTTTTTTTTAAACGTATCTTTCCACCTATTTCTTTGGAGCATTCACACAGCATACTTAAAAAAGAATTATAGATAGATAGCTCTCCCTCTCTCTCTCTCTCTATATATACATATATCTATTTATAGATATATAAACATATCTTTCCACCTAGTTATTTGGATCATTCACACAGCATACCTTCTATATATATATATATATTTTTTTTTTTTTTTTTGTTTAGGTATGCTTTTTTTTTTTTTTTTTTTTTTTTTTTTTTTTAAACGTATCTTTCCACCTATTTCTTTGGAGCATAGAGCATCTTAGCAGTGGTTTATCCCAATCTCATTGATCAGTCTGGCCCAACTGCTATGGCAGCGGATGTTCTGTGTGTAGTGTGTAGTTATTCATCCCGCTCTATATATATATAATATATATATATTATTTCAGCTCTCATTGTATTTCAGAACACTCCTTATTTTTTCTTGACTGTAGTACATTCCCTGTTAGATATTGTTTCTGCTGTAGGAGTTGAGTTTGGAACGTTCCGTATCTAGATTCTATATCTGATCTGTATTCTATTCTTCTGATAGAAGATCTGTTTGTCAGAAGTGTCCGTTGTGCTCGAGGGAATGTTCCATGGGCTGACGAACCTGAGATTGACCTTCGTATTCCACCATTCTCAGGTCAGACAGTCCTAGGGACATCTCTCAGCTGCTAGACCTTAGGTAGAGTCGATGGGACCAGAGGAGACACTGCAAAGAATTCACCTGAAGGAAGAGGCAAATAGAAAGCAAAGATTTATTTTTTTTCCTTACTAAATAATACAAAAGCATAAGAAAACAAAATGAAAACGGAACTGGTAAGGAAGATGTGATAACAGCAAAACAATCAAATCATTTCTGAAATGATACACTTAAAGCCGTATTAAACCCAGAATTTTTTCGTTTTTTTTTTCTTTCCCCTGTAAAAATATAATATTTTGCAGCTTAACCACTTCCAGTCTGGACACTTTCACCCCCTTCCAGTCCGGACACTTTCACCCCCTTCCAGTCCGGACACTTCCCCCCCTTCCAGTCCGGACACTTTCACCCCCTTCCAGTCCGGTCCGGACACTTTCCCCCCTTCCAGTCCGGACACTTTCACCCCCCTTCCAGTCCGGACACTTTCCCCCCCATCCGGACACTTTCACCCCTTTCCAGTCCGGACACTTTCCCCCCTTCCAGTCCGGACACTTTCCCCCCCTTCCAGTCCGTTTCCCCCCGCTTCCAGTCCGGACACTTTCCCCCCCTTCCAGTCCGGACACTTTCCCCCCTTCCAGTCCGAACACTTTCCCCCCTTCCAGTCCGGACACTTTCCCCCCCTTCCAGTCCGGACACTTTCCCCCCCCCCCCTTCCAGTCCGGACACTTTCCCCCCTTCCAGTCCGGACACTTTCCCCCCCCCCCCTTCCAGTATTTTCTGGACACTTTCCCCCCTTCCAGTCCGGACACTTTTCCCCCTTCCAGTCCGGACACTTTCACCCCCTTCCAGTCCGGACACTTTCACCCCCTTCCTGTCCGGACCTTTCCCCCCCTTCCAGTCCGGACGCTTTCCCCCCTTCCAGTCCGGACACTTTCCCCCTTCCTGTCTGGACGCTTTCCACCCCCTTCCGTTTTCCCCCCCTTCCGGTCCGGACGTTTCCCCCCCTTCCGGTCCGGACGCTTTCCCCCCCCTGTCCGGACGCTTTCCCCCCCTTCCGTCTTTCCCCCCCTTCCAGTCACTTTCACCCCCTTCCAGTCCGGACACTTTCCCCCCCTTCCAGTCCGGACACTTTCACCCCCTCCTGTCCAGTCCGGACACTTTCCCCCCCCCTTCCCGGTCCGGACTTTCCCCCCCCTTCCGGTCCGGACGCTTTCCCCCCCCCCCCCTTCCTGTCCGGACGCTTTTCCCCCCCTTCCTGTCCGGACACTTTCCCCCCCTTCCGGTCCGGACACTTTCCCCCCTTCCAGTCCGGACACTTTCCCCCCCTTCCAGTCCGGACGCTTTCCCCCCCCCCATTCCAGTCCGGACACTTTCACCCCCTTCCAGTCCGGACACTTTCAGGCCCTGACATTTTCACCCCCTTCCAGTCCAGGCCAATTTTCAGCTTTCAGCGCTATCACACTTTGAATGACAATTGCGCGGTCATGCAACACTGAACCCATATGAATTTTTAAGCATTTTTTTGAGACAGATAAAACTTTATTTTGGTGGTATTTATTCACCGCTGGGATTTTTATTTTTTTGCTATATAAACGAAAAAGTCCAAAAATTTTGAACAAAAAGTGTTTTTCTTATAAAATGTTGCAAACAAATAATATTTCATCATAAATCTTGGCCAAAATTTATTCAGTTGTCTTTTTAGTAAAAAAAAAAAATAACCCAAATTAGTTTATAACCAAAAAATTATAATTTTTAAAAAAAAATGTTTTTACATTTTTATTTTATTTTTTTTATATTATTATTTGGTTTTTTTTTTCTACATACTGTCACCCTAGCAGTACAGTGTCCCCATACTTGTGGGGGGTGATGAAGATTTTTTTTTTTTTTTTACACTGATTGCTTTTACACCCATAAAGGCTGTAAAAGCAATCATTTCTCCTTCTCTCTGGCTGCATTCAATTTTTTATATTTTTTTTTTTTTGGGGGGGGTTTTTTAACATACTGTCACCCTAGCAGTACAGTGTCCCCATGGTGACACTGTACTACTTGTGGGGGGTGATGAAGATTTTCTTTTTTTACACTGATTGCTTTTACATCCATAAGGGCTGTAAAAGCAATAATTTCTCCTTCTCTCTGGCTGCACTCTTGCAACCTCTGAGAAATACTGTGAGAGTTGTGATTGGTCACATACTTGTCAATGGTACAAGGCTGTTGTGAATAGCCCTGTACCATGTGACCTCTGTGATCATTCACAGATTTCACACGTAGCAAGCAATGATGTCAGAAGTGACATCTTGCTTACACCTATTCGTGTGATCACTGATTGGCCAATCAGTGATCACATGATCGGGACCTCACACAGAGGTCCCGTACAGTGATCGGTGTTCCGCTGTGTCCTTAGGGGAAGAAATCCTAAGGCCCCATGTACACGGGACACTTCTGAACGATGGAAACTGACTGCTGGAAAACGTAGGTTAAAAAACCGAAGCGATAGCTGGCTGCAGGAAACAAGAAATGACACATTTTATGTTTTATCAAATCAGTTCAACTAATAAAAGAAAATAAATAGCAGCTGCAAGAAAAAAAAATGTTTCCACAAATGCGGTCACGCTGTTCCTTGCAGAGGGTGAGGTTATTTATCGTCAATTAGAATATCAAAGTAACTTTTTCGGCGAAGTAAAGCGGTTTGTTTGTTCTATCAATACAAGCTGTCTGCTAGCATTTGTTGGAAATTACTATCGGGGGTTGGCAGCTAGCCAGGAATTTACAGACAGCTTAATATACAACAAACCACGACTAGTGAAGTTATCACTTAAAGCGGAGTTCCACCCAAAAGTGGAAGCTCGCTTGTTTGCTTCCCCCCCCCCCCTCCATTTTTTTGTTGGGAGTGGGTACCTGGTTTTGACAGGTACCCACTCCCACTTCCGGCTCAGTTCGCCAGAACTTCGGCCCCCTCCTCCCTCCCGAAGTCTCCCAGGAACTTTCACAGGTTCCAGAAGACAGCCGGACCAATCAGAAGGCGCAGCGCGACTTGCGCATGCGCAGCGGGCACCAGGCTGTGAAGCCGCAAGCTGACACAGTTGAGATGCCGACGCCGTGGAGGAGAGAAGGGATGGCGCGGGTGAGAACATCGCTAGATCCCGAGACAGGTGAGTGTGTGTTTATTAAAAATCAACAGCTTCAGTTTTTGTAGCTGCTGCCTTTACCCCCGGTTCACACCTGTGCGGGCCGCGTTTTGTGCATGCACCAGAGCCTAGTAATTTGTATGGACTCCCGTGCCCCTGACACACAGGTAAAGAAGTCCCTGCACTTCTTTGGAAAACGCAGCCTCGGTTCTCAGTACGGTTGCGTTTCCCCGTGCAGGCGGTGTGCCATTAGAACTAATGTCACCCGCCCGCAGGTCCGCATTTCTCTGTGCGGGTGGTGCGGCTGCACAGATTTTCGTGCAAATCCGCCACAGCACCACCCGCACAGATGTGAACCTAGGGTCAATAAACACAAAAATGGTTGGAACTCCGCTTTGCAATTAACATCCATTTAAAAAAAAAAAAAAAAAAAGGAAAAAAATCTGCATTGTGACTGCCCAAACATGTTCCGTCACTTCATAGTGAAACAAACAATGACTAGTTAAAAGTTTTCACCTAAAATTACCATCTGTAAAAAATATTTTGTGCATGCCCAGTCATGGTCTATGTGTTATGTGCCCTATCATTGTCATCACATTAGCGATAGCATGTTTACATATAAATTATATATATACATATACACAGTACTGTGCAAAAGTTTTAAGCAGGTGTGAAGAAATGCCATAAAGTAAAGCCCCGCACACACGATGAGGATGTTGGGATGAACGATCGCCCGTTTTTTTTTTTCGCCTGCAAGTCTCACATCGAAAGTGTAAAAGTTACTAAAGATACGAAAATTCTCGTGCGAAGGAAAAGAATTTTTGAAAGTGATGTCATGTATTGTATTTTTGGACGACTACTGTACTGATTAAACGAAAATCATACGATCCGGTATCGTACGACTAAAATCGGATATTGTCGTGATCAGCTCTTGAAAGCTGTGTACTAACGATCCGATTTTATATATATATATATATATATATATAATATAAAATAAATGATTTTGCATTTCCAGGTACGGGGTGCACGTGAGCCCTACCTGCGCCGCCTGTCGATCATGTGTCCCAGCTGGTGATTCCCTGCTGGGCACCCAGCGATTGCCGTGCATCACCGATGGGGGAGAGACCTGTCTGTAAACAATACTGATCTGTCCCCTGTCAGCCCCTGCACACTGCTTTATTTGCTCTGCACAACAGAGCCATACAAAGCAGTGTGCTTACAGTGAAACACACACAGCACACAGTTAACCCTTTGATCGCCCCAGATGTTAACCCCTTCCTGCCCACTGCCATTAGTACAGGGTCTGTTCTTTTTATTAGCACTGATCACTGTATTGGTGTCACTGGGGATGTCAGTGACAGTTATTCAGTCCCCCCCCCCCCCCAGTGTCAGAATGTCTGCCGCAGTCCCGCTATAAGTCGCTAAATGCCGCCTATACTAGTATAGGGGAAACAAAAATTTCAGTATATATACTGCCATTCATAAACACTATAGCGTTCACGTAAACCAATTAATTTACACGTATTGGGATTTTTTTTTTAGCAAAGACATGGAGAAGAATACATTTTGTCTTACATTTATGGCAAAATTAGATTTTTTACATTTTTGTACCTGATTTTAGAGCGAAAAGTCAAACATATTTTTTTGTCAAAATTGGTGGTCTTTTTTTTTTTCATACTGCAAAAAATTAAAAAGGCAAAGGTAATCAAATACCACCAAAAGAAAGCTCTATTTGTGGGAAAAAAAGGATGTACATTTAATTTGGGTGCAGCATTGCATGACCGCGCAATTGTCAGTTAAAGTAACGCAGTGCCGTAACGCAAAAAATGGCCTGGTCAGGAGGGAAGGGAAGGGGGGGGGGGGTAAATCCTCTGGAAGGCAAGTGGTTAATGTATGTTCAATAAAAAAAGTTGCTTATATATATATAATGTTTGTAGAGTTGATGTTTCTATTTACATATACCGGTGGGTCACCCTTTAATACCTTTCCTTTTTCTGGTGGTGACCCCCCGATATAACTATATATATATATATATATCTATCTACACATACTATCTATCTATCTATTCTATATCTATCTATCTATCTATTTATATACACACAAAATATATATATATATAATTTTTTTTTTAAATAACATACATACATACACACACTATATATATATATATATATATATATATATATATATATATACAACACACATGCAATATATGTATGTACACAATATATATATAATATATATACACTCATTTTATATATATATATATATATATATATATACACACACACACATACAATATATATATAATATACTGTATATATATACTCATATATATAAAATATATATATATCTCTATATTTTTTTTTTTAGGTATGCTTTCTTTTTTTTCTTTTAAGTATCTATTTCTTTGGAGCATTTACACAGCATACCTAATAAATAAATATATATATATTTTTTTTTTTTTGTAGATATGCTTTCTTTTTTTAAACATATCTTTCCACCTACTTCTTTGGAGCATTCACACAGCATACCTTATATATATATATATGCCACATCTCAGTGCTGTCTGTACATCCTCACCTCTAGTAATTCCCAATATAAGTCACCACACTAACTCTGCAGATCCGATGGCATATCTGTTCCTCTATGTTCCAATGAATCTGTCCGCAGGCTGTGATCTCTCT